TGCACAGGCGCCTGCAAGAAGTTTCCTAAGTCTAGGCAACCACCCTGAGTCCTTTGGCACTCCCCATAGGGTCTTACCTTAGGGCTCAGAGGAGGGTCCTGTGGAGTCACCAAAATATGTTACCAGCAAACCCCCGTGTGGGTTCTGGCTGCCTGTCGCCGTGTCTAATAATGAAGGCAGGGTTGAATCATATAAGGCATTTATTGAAAAGGCTAGCTAATCAAGACAAGGCGCTTACAAGCATTCAAATCCTGTCTTACAGCAAGGTGCAGGGGACAGGATTATAAAGGGGAATGGACTAAGGTGAGACTGAGAAAGGAATGCAGCTACGTGCAACCCTGGAGGTCCACAGATGTTAGTTATTGTCCTTAGTTATCAGGCAGTGAGATGATGTTTTGACTCCTGGTAGTCGTTTGGACCATGCTTATTGGTTCTGCTTGCTGGATTCACAGCTGAGTCACCTCCCCAATCGCTATAGTCACTATGCTGTGCACACATCACCACTATCTAATTCCCAGAATATTTCCAATACTCCAAACAAAAATCCCATATGATTATCTGTCACTACATATTCCCTCCTTCCCCCAACTCCTGGCAACCAATACTCTACTTTCTATCTAAGGATTAGCTTATTCTGTATATTTCATATAATTGGAATTATGCAACATATGACCTTTTGTATCTGGCTTCTTTCACTTAGCATAATGCTTTTGAGGTTCATCCATGTTGTAGCATGATTCAGTACTTTGTTTCTTTTTATAGCTGAATAATATTCCATTGTAAGTATATACCACATTTTGTTTATGTGTTCATCATTTGCTGCCATGAATATTTTTGTACAATTTTTTGTTTAAATACCTGTATTCAATTTTTTTTGGTATATATCTAGGAGTGGAGGTACTGGGTCATATGTTAATTCTATGTTTAACTTATTGACAAACTGCCAAATTTTTCCACAGTGGCTGCACCATTTTACATTCCCACCAGCAATGTATGAGGGTTCCAATTTCTTTCTCCACATTTTTCACATTTTTCCACTTTTTAAATTATAGCCATCTTATTAGACATGAAGTAGATTATTATTCAATCATAAGAAGGAGTGAAGTACTGATACATGCTATAATATAAATGAATCTTGGAACCATTATACTAAGTGAAAGACATCAGACACAAGAGGCCACATATTGAGTGATTCCATTTGTATGAAATGCCCCAAATAGGCAAATCCTTAGAGATAGAAGTAGAATTGTGATTGCCAATGGGTGGAGTATTTCTTTTTGGAGTGATGGAAATGTTCTGGAGTTAGATAGTGGTGATGGTGGTAAAACTTTGTGAATATACTACAAAGCATTGAGTTGTACACTTTAAGGAGGTGAATTTTATCATAGGTGAATTATATCTTAATTTTTAAAAAGCACAGTGTCTCATTGTAGGTCTAGAGATGATATTTGATATTTAAATTTATAGCATTTCTCTCCTTTATTTTTAACAGCGTTGTACCAGGTAGAGTACCCAAGAAAAGCAGTATAGTTTGTTGATGGAAAAGGCACACAGCCAAATGTGTGAATGAGACTGAAATTAGCCCATACCATTCTCTTTTAACTTGGTGTTTTCTAGCTTGGTGCTACCCCAGCCCAGAGGAAAAAGCACCATTTTACCACTTTGTAATTCAACTGTCCAGAGGAGAAAGACATCTTACTTTGATTTGTCTTTTTAGAAAGGGCACCACCATTCTAGTGGAGATCCTAATACAGTGGATACTACTTTCCCATCCTGAAAATTGGGCCATCTTCACAGCCTTTTACTTTAACTGGGTCTAATAATAAGTTATAAAATACACCCCCATAATTCTCTAAAGCAGTGGTTCTCAACCTTGGCTGCACATTAGAATCACCTGGGAATCTTTTTAAAATCCTGATTTCTGGGCCCCATCCCC